CCCCCCCTCCCTGCCCCCGCCACCTCCCCGAGGCAGGGCCGGTCGCTGAAGCAGGTGTCCGCCCGGACTCCCTTCTTCCTGTCGCTACCTTGCAGCTCCATGCGCCCTCTGCCAGCTTGCTCCTCACCTGAGGCCAGGAGGGGGCTCCCCGGGCCCCGAGCAGCGATCCGACCCTGGGGCCCTTTGTCTTTCACCTGAGGGGAAGCTGCAGGTTCTAGATTTGACTTGCGGCATCACCTGGTGGATCCAGGGTTTCGATTTTCCGATTTTCAAATTCCGAAATTCCAATTTTCGAATCCCCCAGCCCTTTGGATCCTGCAGCTCTGTGGATCCTGCTGGTGCGGGATCAGCCACAGACCAGGGCGCAGCTTGGAAATCAGGGTGCGCCTCTTGCCCAAGGAACGCCCCATTGAAATGAGGGCCTGGACTTGTCGCTCCGAAGAGATTCCTGCTCTCCCGTGTTTGGGGCCTCTCCGTGACACTGGAATGTCTGACTCTCAGGGCGGGCAGAGACCTCGGGTCATCGAGTCCAGCCCCTGCCCAGAGCAGCACAAACCCCAACTAAACCATCCCAGCCGGGGCTGTGTCAAACTGGGACTTAAAAACCTCTAGGGATGGAGATTCCACCACTCCCTAAGCAACCCATCCCCGTGCTTCACCACCCTCCAGTGAAGCCGATTTTCCTAATGTCCAACCTGGACCTTCCCCACTGCAACTTGAGACCCTTGTTCCTTGTTCTCCCACTGAGAACAGCCTCTCGCCAGCCTCTCTGGAACCCCCCTGCAGGGAGTTGGAGGCTGCTCTCAAATCCCCCCCCACTCTGCTCTTGCTCTTCTCAGCATGATCTCTCTCTCTCTCTCTCTCCTTCTCCTTCTCCTTCCCCCGGGACACTGTTCAGGGAGTGGGGGTCGTTTCCTTTCGAGCCCCAGGCCCACCGTGGGTGCTTGGATCTACCTGCTTGTCCACCCCCTGCTGCGCAGCTGTGGCACGTAGGGGACGTGGCTGCGTTTAGGTTACAGAGCTGGGAGCAGAGTCCTGCGGCCTCCTGCCTCTAGCCACAAGCTGCCCCGGCCCCAGCGAACTCTGCTCGGAGGGTTTCCGAGTCTGGCGCCAGCAGAGCTCGCCCGGCCCGTTGATCACTACCGTGGCGGGAACCCCGGGTGCCCCCCGCCCCCCCC